AAAGTGAAAGAGGATTAATTAAGATATCTAACATTTTGTTAGCAAAAATCCCTGAAACCGGAATTTTTTTCCGGAATGCAATATTCAGGGGAAAAAAATCCGTTTTTAGTGGAACTCTTCTGTGTTTGGAACTCTTCTGTGTTTGGAACTTTTCTGAGTTTGGAGCTCCTTTGTGTTTGGAACTCTTCTGTGTTTGGAGCTCTTTTGTGTTTAGAACTCTTCTGTGTTTGGAGCTCTTTTGTGTTTGGAACTCTTCTGTGTTTGGAGCTCTTTTGTGTTTGGAACTCTTCTGCGCGTCAAAAACCCCACTATAGGTTACCATTTCTCCCACAAGTTTTGTTACAAAATCCCGCTACACCAATTCTTAAGTCCGGTCAAGGTAAGTATTTCCCGCACAAGTTATCATTTATTCTTATTTGTTTTCTTTTTGTTCTTTATAAATGAATAGAGATAAAAAAAATAGTTGTTTGCTTAATGTAGAGGAATGTGTTGCAAATTCTCCTCAATCAATAAAAGAATATCGCACTCAAACACAAATAAAACTAGATATTAAAATTTTTATTAGTAAAGAATAGTTTCTTTTTTTAAGGAATTGGTATGAGTGAGGAAAAAGGTATAGAGTCTCTCCATTCCGATGCAGGTATTACATGTAGTCATTTGAATTTTCGTACATCAAATCGCATATAAAGTTAATCAAGAAAGTGAAAGAGGGTTAATTAAGATATCTAACATTTTGTTAGCAAAAATCCCTGAAACCGGAAATTATTTTTTCCGGATTGCAATATTCCGGAAAAAAAAATCCGTTTTTAGTGGAACTCTTCTGTGTTTGGAGCTCTTTTGTGTTTGGAACTCTTCTACGCGTCCAAAACACCACTATAGGTTACCATTTCTCGCACAGGTTTTGTCTCCTTTTGATAATAGACACCAAATATATATTGATTTTTTTTAATTTTATGGTATTTAATATTTATATCATTTATTTCTCCTTCATATCATCTTATCGAGTTGCATTTTGTAAAAACTGGAGCATTTTGTGATTCCTTTTAGTAGAGATGGAAGCTGATGTGGCGGAGTCCCAGGGAAATAAAGATCCTTGTTTCTCTGGTAATGAATCTGACCTAGATATTCTATAATATCTAATAATATCGGAGATATTCTATAATTTGCAGTTGATACATCTAAGGGAAACAAGAATATAAGTTTGCTAACCGTGATCTTTTAAGGATAAAATCATGATGAAGAAAAAAATGAACTTATTTTTTAACAATGTTTTTTCCTAAATAACAGTTACAGGGCGTTACATTGTTTGCCAATTTATTTTGTGCAACAAGGCCATTGTGCGCTTTGGGGACCATCTGCGGAGGACGCACCACATCTCCAAAAGAGTGCGCATTGAGTACCTCCACTTCCAAAGTCCCAAAGTTGTGGACAACTTTACGACGTAGGTTGAATTTTGAAGCATTAATTCAATCGTATAGAAATATATTTCTTCAATTATCCATATATCTTCATTTTGTAGTGATGAATGTGTACCTTCTCTACACCTGGAGGACCTTACAGACCCAAGTGATGATAAAAGGTTTGTGAGCACAATCATACTTGTATGACTTTAAATTTGATTTTATTTGCACTACAGCTGAATAATCATTTGAACTGTTTGTAGGGAAAGTATCATGGACGCAGCTGAAAAAAGATGCATATCCTAACCCACTGCATCCTTGGAAAAATCAGCTTACTTCCATTGCATAGCTTTGATAAAAATACCGGAGATAATTTGAGAAAATTAAAAATTTAAACTTTTCCCATTAGTATTTTTTAATTCAGTGTGTATCATAAACCACATTGTAATTGTTTAAGTGTATGTCATTTGTCCAAATAAAAAATAATGAAACCCCAAAAAAATAGCTGAAATATAAAAGGAACTTATACTGATTTACAAGTAAGATAGCATTTCTGGCTATGCGACATGTCCCTCGTCTTGATGATGCAGGTTAAACAACGTCAAGCATGATCAGTACTTGGATGGGTGACAGCTGCACCTTGCAAGGTTTCACAAAGGGCTATCAAGTGATATAGTGATGATACAGCACCACCATTCTGAATCACATTTGATTAAGAATTAAGCATCTGAATATCACACAAACGTTTCTTTTGTTCTTAAAGATAAGGGTTAGACTAATTCAGTAACTGCAGGAATTCATTGATCACAGTAAAAATAAGCATTCCTTTCTTAAACATTATGGGTAAAAGTGAATAAAAGCAGGAATTCTTTGCTCATAAAATTTAGGCATTTCTCAAATAAGCAAGGATTTTGTACAGTTAAGTAAGGATTAGGGTTAAAATAATCCGTAGTTTTATTGTCATCTTAGTCACTCAGCTTCGGCAATTCCATTTAATAATCTAAGAGGCATCTGAACGAATACTGTTATTTTAGTAACCATTTAATGCACAAACTCTTGGTTACCATTTCCCACCCTTTTATCCAATCGCACAGAACATATAACAACCAAGTTGACATTCTAGTACTCTTTTTCTTTCCTTCCCCATAGAAAATATTGAAATTCAATCAGATTACCGTTTTCCGCACGTTTCCCAATACGGCTTTGTTACCAATTCCCGCTATATCGTTACCAAATCCCGCTCTAGGTTACCATTTCCCGCACAAGTTACTCAATCCCGCACAAGTTACCAATTATCGCTTTAGGTTACCAAATAACGCTCTGAGTTACCAAATCACTCATTTGCTTTGATTTGGTAAACTATTGAAGCAAAGGGTATCATCTCCCTGCATGTTAAATATAATGAACCCATTGACGCTATAATCCCTTGATCCATTTGGCATACCCATTAGAAATGCCTTCAATGAGTTTATGTTACCATTTCCCGCACTTGGAGTTACCAAATACCGTTGGAAACTATTTCAGGATTTTCGTTGATGTTTCAAATAAAATTCGTAAATTAATGCCAAATGGTAATAATCTTACTGTGAATTCTCGATGAAAAGGACCTTCTAACTGGTAGGACGAAAATCAATTGAATTTGAAAAAAAAATACTGAGTATGAGGAAGGGTTTAATGGGTAATGCGTAGAGGTATATTAGGTGAGACTAATGGGAAAATAGTTCGGATATATTTGGTCAGGATTAGGAGTAATGGGTGTACTATGTAAATTTAAAATTGTTCAGGGTATACTAGGAAAACAGTAGTGGTTAGGTGTCTTGGTATGCTTGGTCAGGGGTAATAGAGGATATAGTGATGATGAAAAGAACGGTCTGAAGCAGAATTGATTAAAGCTGAATATATTTTTTTAAATTTGCTGAAGTGTTTTGTGACATTTAGGTAGAGAAGATCAGGAAATCAGAAGAATGGAAACAGTTAGAGAAGCTTGTATTTATGGCTGAGTATATTCACATTTGCAATACTTTTCAGATCTTAACAATGAAAATGATTTTGACAAATGAATCACTTGTTTGTTGTTGATAGTAAATTTTTATGCTATTTATAGGAAGAGTGTGGAAACAGTGGAAGAGGTTCCTAGCAGTAGGTTGGTATCTTCATTTTTCTTGAATAAAGGGTTAGTCTAGTGACATTTTCAATGTTTTTCATGCAAGACCAATCAAATGGCAGTATTAAAGTTTCAATTTTTGTGAGATAATTAGCCAGTTCATCAAGGAAAGCTATGTATTTCCTCGTCCTGCACCTGTTCGAGTACAGAACATCCTCTCTACATTTACATTGCGTAAATTCTTCCAGCCAGAATGGTCTAGCTGGTGTATCCTTCCAGTTGAACAGCATGTACTTAACCTCTCGAAAGGAAACATAGCACATAAGACTCCTAAACGTGGCTAGAAAAATCCATCTTTTACTTGACCAATGTCAAATTTAAACTCAAATCTTTCAAGGCTTTCGAAGACGTTCTCTATGGAGTTTATAACGAGTTTGTTTTCGCCCACTTCTCAGTCGTCTTCCATCCATTAATCTGGTTTCACTGCAAGTAAAATACAAATATATGTATTTGTGTTAAATATATTCAAATTTTAAAGAAATTTTGTATAATGGAGTAGTAGTAGAATTCATTTCTTGGCTACAAACAGACTACAGACAGTGCAAAATGTGCAAGAGTATGGGTTCCTCAAAAAAAAAAAAAAATTAAGTACATTGCACATATACTGTGTGCTCAATAACCAATCTATAAAAACTAGATTCTTTCATCCACTCCTGTAATGGCTACACAAGGATCTATTATGGGAGTGGATCAAAGGTTCCAATTTTAATTTGATAAGCTTACTTATTTAATAAACTCCAGCAAATAAAACCTTTAGTTGTTTGGAATATATTATGTTCATTTTCACAAGGAATACTATTTTTTAAAGCAAATCCCCTTTTCTCTTATCGGAATTTAAGAACTGTGCTTCAATTCTGATTTGAAAACACAATTCTTGGTCAGAATCAATGTACATTCCTGGCCTAGCAATATTGCATATGCAAATTCAGTGATGCGTTATGCAATGAAGACCTATTAGATGACACCTCCTTTCTCTCCAATACAAATCTGTTATTGGATTGACTTCGTAAATAACCTTCAAATGTCAAATATTTTTTTTAGCTCACCTGAGTTGAAAGCTCAAGTGAGCTTTTCTGATCACATGTTGTCCGGCGTCCGTCTGTCTGTCCGTCTGTCTGTCCGTCTGTTTGTCCATCTGTCTGTGTGTAAACTTTTCACATTTTCGACTTCTTCTCAATAACCACTGGGCTAATTTCAATCAAACTTACCACAAAGTATTCGAAGGGGATTCAAGTTTGTTCAAATGAAGGGCCATGCCCTCTTTCAAGGGGAGATAATTAGAAATTAGTGAAAAAATAAAAGCATCATTTAAAAATCTTCTTCTCAAGAACCAAAGGGCCAGGAAAGATGAAACTTATGTGGAAGCATCCTCATATAGTGTACATTCAAATTTGTACAGTTAAGGATGCTCAAAAATCCTGTTTTCTTTTATTTAGGCAATAAGAACTATCAAACAGATTGCACAGACGAGCTCCATTCAAGAGATATATCTTAATGCACTTGTCTTTATTTCTTGGCATTTTCCTTCGGTGAAAATGTTTTATTTTCTTTTTAAAATGTCGGTGAAATATTTTCTTATATTCTAGATATCGCAGACAGGTACTGAGGAAGGTAGTTCAAACCCTAACCCTACCCCTGATTCTGACTCTCCAAAGGTAAATGTTATGATTGTAATTCTAAAAGCAAATGACTGTTGGAAGCAAAATTTCCGACACTTCTTCCATTATACGCTACTTCTTCCATTTTTTTTATTATATACATATCTATTATACCGAAAATCATAATTTAAAATAGATGTACTGAAGCATGTAGCTTATTCAAATAAAATCAAGTCAACATTTCCGGCAAAAGTGACACAATCCTGCTTTGTTACCAAATCCCGCTATACCGTTACCAAATCCCGCTCTAAGTTACCAAATCACGCTTCCTCATATAATTCATACATAATTCATACTTAGGACACTCGTTGGAACCCCATTTTTAACTACCTTATACAGATGAAGACCCTCCAGCCCCACGTAGTTAACGAGTGCCCTTAAACCCAGTCAAACGGGAGATAGGTTAGGGTTAGTTACCAAATCCCGCTCTCTAAGTTACCATTTAACGCTTGCTCATATAATTCGTACTTGGGACCCTCGTTGGAACACCATTTTTAACTACCTGATACAGATGAAGACCCTGCATCCCCACGTAGTTAACGATTGCCCTTAAACCCAGTCAAAGGGGAGATAGGTTAGGGCAGTTACCAAATCCCGCGCAAGTTACCCAATCCCGCACAAGTTACCAATTATCGCTACACCGTTACCAAATCCCGCTCTAGGTTACCATTTCCCGCACAAGTTACCAAATCCCGCACAAGTTACCAATTATCGCTTTAGGTTACTAAATAACGCTCTAAGTTACCAAATCACTCATTTGCTTTGTTTTCAAAAACTATTGAAGCCAAGGGTGTCATCTTCCTGCATGTGAAAAATTACGAACCCATTGACCCAATAATGCTCTTATCCATTTGTTATGCCCATTAGAAATGGTTTCAATGAGCTTAGGTTACCATTTCCCGCACTTCACGTTACCAAATACCGTTGAAAACGTTCAGTAATAATACAAAATACAAAATGACCAAAATTTGACCCATTTTTTGGATAGGAAATGACCCAAATCGTATAGAAAACACGACCCCCAAAACGTTTTTTTTTCTGTTACACAGTCTTTTTTTCAGTGTTACCAAATAGCGGAAAGAACTCTTCATTAAAACACATTTAATAAAATGCTAACAGAAATTATAGTGCTATACTTTGGTTGAAACGATCAAAATACTTAAATAATATCTTGCATACTTTCCAAAACCCTTGAATGTCATGAAGACTTTGAATTCTTCATGAGAAGATCCTAATAGCTAGTAAGACGAAAAATCAAATGAATTTGAAAAAAAAAATCAGGAATTATTAGAAAGGGTATGCTAAGTAAGGTGTATTGGGTAATGGGTGGAGGTATACTAGATCAGCTTAATGAGAAATGAGTCAGAGTATATTAGATCAGGGTTAGGGGTAATGGGTATACAAGGTAAATGAGTAATTGTTCAGGGTATACTAGGAAAGGGCAATGGGTAGGTGTACAGGTATATTAGGTTAGGTGTAATAGGTGATATAGTGATGATAAAAGGAACGGTCTGAAACACAATTGATGAAGGCTTATTCTTCTAAATATCATAAATTTTTGCCCATATTTTGTTTCCTAATAACAAGTGATCGTATTGTTAGTACTTGCTAGCGTGAAACTGAAGCAGCATAAGTCTCCACTGTCAGTTTACTCTGTACTATAGTAGACGCTATCTAGGCCCCCATCTCATAGAACACATAGCACTTTATCTCCGAAAATTCAAGAAGGAATATAATTTAATTGACCAATTGACCTTTTGGCTTTGATTTCCTGAAGTACAGTAGCCAAGAGCTTCTTCTTTAAATATCTCTGAGAACGTACGGTCTAACAGACATTTAGGTACTCTTCTCAATGCCCTATGCCCGTAAAATAGGATTCAAATGAAATCAAGTCAATATTTCCGGCACAAGTTACCCAATCCCGCTTTGTTACCAAATCCGGCTATACCGTTACCAAATCCCGCTCTAAGTTTCCAAATCACGCTTGCTCATATAATTCATACATACTTCATACTTAGGACCCTCGTTGGAACACCATTTTTAACTACCTGATACAGATGAAGACCCTCCAGCCCCACGTACTTAACGAGTGCCCTTAAACCCAGTCAAACGGGAGATAGGTTAGGGTTAGTTACCAAATCCCGCTCTCTAAGTTACCATTTAACGCTTGCTCATATAATTCGTACTTGGGACCCTCGTTGGAACACCATTTTTAACTACCTGATACAGATGAAGACCCTGCAGCCCCACGTAGTTAACGATTGCCCTTAAACCCAGTCAAACGGGAGATAGGTTAGGGTTAGTTACCAAATTCCACTCTCTAAGTTACCAAATCACGCTTTCTCATATAATTCATACATAAGTCATACTTAGGACCCTCGTTGGAACACCATTTTTAACTACCTGATACAGATGAAGACCCTCCAGCCCCTCGTACTTAACGAGTGCCCTTAAACCCAGTCAAACGGGAGATAGGTTAGGGTTAGTTACCAAATCCCGCTCTCTAAGTTACCATTTAACGCTTGCTCATATAATTCATACATAATTCATACTTAGGACCCTCGTTTGAACACCATTTTTAAGTACCTTATACAGATGAAGACCCTCCAGCCCCACGTACTTAACGAGTGCCCTTAAACCCAGTCAAACGGGAGATAGGTTAGGGTTAGTTACCAAATCCCGCTCTCTAAGTTACCATTTAACGCTTGCTCATATAATTCGTACTTGGGACCCTCGTTGGAACACCATTTTTAACTACCTGATACAGATGAAGACCCTGCAGCCCCACGTAGTTAACGATTGCCCTTAAACCCAGTCAAAGGGGAGATAGGTTAGGGCAGTTACCAAATCCCGCGCAAGTTACCCAATCCCGCACAAGTTACCAATTATCGCTACACCGTTACCAAATCCCGCTCTAGGTTACCATTTCCCGCACAAGTTACCAAATCCCGCACAAGTTACCAATTATCGCTTTAGGTTACTAAATAACGCTCTAAGTTACCAAATCACTCATTTGCTTTGTTTTCAAAAACTATTGAAGCCAAGGGTGTCATCTTCCTGCATGTGAAAAATTACGAACCCATTGACCCAATAATGCTCTTATCCATTTGTTATGCCCATTAGAAATGGTTTCAATGAGCTTAGGTTACCATTTCCCGCACTTCACGTTACCAAATACCGTTGAAAACGTTCAGTAATAATACAAAATACAAAATGACCAAAATTTGACCCATTTTTTTGGATAGGAAATGACCCAAATCGTATAGAAAACACGACCCCCAAAACGTTTTTTTTTCTGTTACACTTAGTCTTTTTTTCAGTGTTACCAAATAGCGGAAAGAACTCTTCATTAAAACACATTTAATAAAATGCTAACAGAAATTATAGTGCTATACTTTGGTTGAAACGATCAAAATACTTAAATAATATCTTGCATACTTTCCAAAACTCTTGAATGTCATGAAGACTTTGAATTCTTCATGAGAAGATCCTAATAGCTAGTAAGACGAAAAATCAAATGAATTTGAAAAAAAAAATCAGGAATTATTAGAAAGGGTATGCTAAGTAAGGTGTATTGGGTAATGGGTGGAGGTATACTAGATCAGCTTAATGAGAAATGAGTCAGAGTATATTAGATCAGGGTTAGGGGTAATGGGTATACAAGGTAAATGTGTAATTGTTCAGGGTATACTAGGAAAGGGCAATGGGTAGGTGTACAGGTATATTAGGTTAGGTGTAATAGGTGATATAGTGATGATAAAAGGAACGGTCTGAAACACAATTGATGAAGGCTTATTCTTCTAAATATCATAAATTTTTGCCCATATTTTGTTTCCTAATAATAAGTGATCGTATTGTTAGTACTTGCTAGCGTGAAACTGAAGCAGCATAAGTCTCCACTGTCAGTTTACTCTGTACTATAGTAGACGCTATCTAGGCCCCCATCTCATAGAACACATAGCACTTTATTTCCGAAAATTCAAGAAGGAATATAATTTCATTGACCAATTGACCTTTTGGCTTTGATTTCCTGAAGTACAGTAGCCAAGAGCTTCTTCTTTAAATATCTCTGAGAACGTACGGTCTAACAGACATTTAGGTACTCTTCTCAATGCCCTATGCCCGTAAAATAGGATTCAAATGAAATCAAGTCAATATATCCGGCACAAGTTACCCAATCCCGCTTTGTTACCAAATCCCGCTATACCGTTACCAAATCCCGCTCTAAGTTACCAAATCACGCTTGCTCATATAATTCATACATAAGTCATACTTAGGACCCCCGTTGGAACACCATTTTTAACTACCTGATACAGATGAAGACCCTCCAGCCCCACGTACTTAACGAGTGCCTTTAAACCCAGTCAAACGGGAGATAGGTTAGGGTAGTTACCAAATCCCGCTCTAGGATACCATTTCCCGCACAAGATACCCAATCCCGCTTTGTTACCAAATCCCGATATACCGTTACCAAATCCCGCTCTAAGTTACCAAATCACGCTTGCTCATATAAATCGTACATAATTCATACTTAGGACCCTCGTTGGAACACCATTTTTAACTACCTGATACAGATGAAGAACCTCCAGTCCCACGTAGTTAACGATTCCCCTTAAACCCAGTCAAACGGGAGATAGGTTAGGGTTAGTTACCAAATCCCGCTCTAAGTTACCAAATCACGCTTGCTCATATAATTCATACATACTTCATACTTAGGACCCTCGTTGGAACACCATTTTTAACTACCTGATACAGATGAAGACCCTCCAGCCCCACGTACTTAACGAGTGCCCTTAAACCCAGTCAAACGGGAGATAGGTTAGGGTTAGTTACCAAATCCCGCTCTAAGTTACCAACATTTGACGTAATTTTTGGGATAGGAAATGACCCTTTAATATCATGAAGAATTTGAATTCTTCATGAAAAGACTCTAATAGCTAGTAAGGCGAAGAATCAAATGGGTTTGAAAAAAAAATCATGTGTAATGAGAAAGGGTTATTCTAAGTAAGGTGTAATGGGTAGAGGTATACTAGGTGAGGCTAGTGAGAAATGATTCAAGGTATATTAGAACAGGGTTAGGGGTAATAGGTATACAAGGTAAATGAGTAATTGTTCAGGGTATACTAGGAAAGGGGCACTGGGTAGGTTTCCCGGTATACTAGGTTAGGGGTAATTGGTGATATAGTGATGATAAAAAGGCTTATTCTGAATCTTCAATTGTACCCGTCCGTCATCAAGATTAATATACCACAAATGCAACGTAAACCTCCGTACCCAAATTGATTAAAAACTCGTAATTAAGCCAAGATATCTATCATTCTCTGTCTACAGCATAAACTGCATCCATCTCTCTGTAAACTTATTCCAAATGTATTCTCCACTACAACTATAATACGTTGACACCGAGTTGATAAGTTGATAAAAAAAACCGCAATAGTACTTTTTTTCACCTTAAAAAAAATCACAACATCCAACACTGTACCTGTCCCTATTGAAAACTGATAAATTGACTCTATGCACTACGACGCCCGTTCTATATATATACTCAAAGACAGTATCCTGCACTATACTTGTGCCGCCTCCACAGAAATCCTTATTTATTGTACCTGTCCTCCATCTGCTAAATGAGTTGTTTTTTTCTCCTGTTGATACATTGTACCTGTATTGATATACAATTTATACTTCATCTACCGTGGTAGTCATTTATCTACTAAGGAACTACAAACACCACCGTTCCTATTACATATCTTCTCTGATATAATGAGTACACCACAACCACCATTGTTTCTATACCGAAAATACATTGATATACCTTAGAAACCACATCCTTTATAATATCCCTTAATGATATACTTGATATCCCCGGTCCTTACTTCAAACACTACATTAACAATGATTGCAGTGTTCTGTACCTAAATTTGTATGCAGTCTTAAATCAACTGTATATACAATCCCACTACTCTTGTATTACCATTACATTGGTATACTACATAGACTTTATTCACAACACAAAACCTGTCCTTAATTTATCATTATCAGTAAACTCTCTTTGATCGGCGTTTCCCTGTGTCCACTGAAAATAATGCTTGTTAACAAACCAAGAAGACTTGGATGCCAGAAGATCTGATAAAAGTTCCTCCCCAAGCCTTTTAATACAAAACAGTGTGCTAATAAGGCACCCAAGCCTCCCTGACAGTCCTTAGGGCACAGATGTACAGAAGATATTCTAAAGGCACTTGACGGTATCAACAATATTAAGCATGGCTTCTACCCATGTTCAAACATTTGAAACCTATTACCGTGACCCACACTTCCCTTTGTCGACTTCAAATTATGGATGTTAACAGAGAGGCCAACAAGACTTTGATGCCAAAAGATCTGATAAAAGTACATAGCCTAGCCATTCCAAACAAAACAGAGTGTTACACAAGATGAAAAGGCCCTCCCAACAGTCTTTGTGGCACAGAAGGATAATAAATATTCATAAAATAGTCTCGCCAATCTCAAAAGCATTGTAAATGGCTTGAATATATGCTAGGGCTCTAAAAGATCCATAAACTACCATTTGTAGTCCCCAGCGGTAATTTTAAACTCCGGCGTTAATTGGTAACTTGTGGGTCTCCGGTCGGAGACAAAAACTCGATTTTTGGATTTTTGATAAATTTCAGCGGTCAAAGAGAGGTAACTCCAAGTTACCATTTCCCGCGTGTAAATACAATATCACCAAAATTTGACCCAATTTTCTGGATTGGAAATGACCCAAATAGTATAGAAAACACGACCCCAAAAAATGTTTTTTTTGTTGGACTTAGTTTTTTTTCGGGGTTACCAAATACCAGAGGGTGTTACCAAATACCGGAGAGAAGTCTTGCTTCAGAAAACACATTAAACAGAGCGCTAAACTAAATAATCGTCCAATACCTTGGTTAGAACGCTCAAAATACTTACATAATATCATGCATAATTTCCTAAACCCTTCAGAAAGAGATTTGTTACCAAATACCGCACAAGTTACCAAATGCCGCAGAAAGTTACCAAATACCCAGTTACCAATTCCCTAGATACCAAATGCCGCGTTACAAAATACCGCTCCAAGTTACCAAATACCTCGCTCCAAAGTTACCATTTACCTACGAGTTACCAAATACCGATTTCGAATGTTACCAAATGCCGCAACCCCAACTGACAGGATGCTGTCAGGTTACCAAATAGACTGAAACCTATGGCCCTAACCCTAACCCTAACCCTAACCCTAACCCTAACCCTAACCCTACTCACCGAGACCTCCTCAGCAACGTTCAGGTTGTCTGGAGCTGACCACAAAGAACCGTCCAACCCCTGTCTCACATTTTCGAAGACTTTTGTACATTTTCCGCATGTTCAGTCTATAATATCTTTTGAGGGAGAAAGTATTTCTACTAACTCTTTGCAGCTTCTAGGAGTCCCTATCGGGGTGTATCACTGACATAAGTGCGGTGTGTCGATTGCATGCCATTCTCCAGATATGGGAGGTTGAAAATGGTCAAACTTTCTCAATTTGTCCATTTCTAAGCACACTCTTTGGTGTAAATAAGAAGCCACTTTTTCTCCCTTTTCCTGGCACCTGGGTTTTACGCTTCTGACTTAGTCGTGTTGTCCGTTTTCTTAGCTTTCCAACGACACCAAACTCGTCTTGATCCGACGATAAATAAGAAAGTTATGAGCTTCGGAAAATTCCACTATTTCCTTTACTATTATACTTCTATCCATGACTTTCACTTTCACTTTCATTTGACCTAGATAGTTCATGACCTAGATAGTTCATCTTCGTTTTGTACCTATACCCTACTCCAAACCCTAACCCTAACCCCCATTAACCCTAACCCTAACCCTAACCCTGCTAACCCTAACCCCACTAACCCTAACCCTAACCCCACTAACCCTAACCCCAATTAACCCTAACACTAACCCCCACTAACCCTAACCCCACTAACCCCGCTAACCCCACTAACCCCGCTAACCCCACTAACCCCACTAACCCTAACCCTAACCCCACTAACCCCGCTAACCCCACTAACCCCGCTAACCCCACTAACCCTAACCCCCACTAACCCTAACCCCACTAACCCCAACCCCCACTAACCCTAACCCCCATTAACCCTAACCCCCATTAACCCTAACCCTAACCCCCACTAATCCTGACTTTAACCCCTGCAAACACTTACTTTTTGCTTTTTGCTCCTATCTTTTGAACAGACTGCTCCGATGTCAACGATCTTGGTGTCGTTGGAAAGGTCTTGAAGAGCTCTTTACGCTGATGTCATGAACTTGTCGTTCCAGAGAGCAAAAAGTAGAATAACGAGCGATTTTCTTCATATGCTTGCAAACGGCAGAAGATCTTTATTTCCTTATGCATTTTCAAGTTCTTGGGCTTGTCAGAAAGCTCTTGACAACGTCTATCCATAGCCATAACGGTCAGAAGGATTTACGACTTTTCGCGAGGCTTTCCAGAGCAAATATTGCCAAGGTGTACCCACGCTGCTGAGACATACATCTTTCAACCCTCGCAACTTTTTCCGTCTTTAACCTTTAATAACCATCTTCGCGTTGTTGACAGAACTTGCCAAGACCTTTTCAATGACACCAAGAGTTTGAAAATCGCATGAAAACGAAGAGAGATACGGACCTTTCAATTTGGCGTCAATTTGCCACCCCTTCTGAACAGTTTTTGGTCATCTCAGAAAGAAGGATTGAGGTAAGGATTTCTAGACCTACTTGACCTTTCATGGGAAGAGGAGTTCCCTTTCGTCCCAAATTTTCGACTTCCGCCGACGTCGCCTTCCGGTCCAACTGGAATTATAGCACGTTTTCTTCAAATGCCCATAGGTTGCACGTCCTTGGAGCACTGAGGCTGAGCTTTGGTATGTGGATTCCTTGAAGTCTTCTTAATCTTTCATGTACTGACTTTAGGGCCTCTATCTCTCACCCTTTTCCAGATATAAGCCCAAAGAGAACTTAGCGCGGAACGCAAGTTTACCTCGTCTCCGAGCATAACCAGTTTCCTGGGCACTTGAAAAGTACTCACCGAGACCTCCTCAGCAACGTTCAGGTTGTCTGGAGCTGACCACAAAGAACCGTCCAACCCCTGTCTCACATTTTCGAAGACTTTTGTACATTTTCCGCATGTTCAGTCTATAATATCTTTTGAGGGAGAAAGTATTTCTACTAACTCTTTGCAGCTTCTAGGAGTCCCTATCGGGGTGTATCACTGACATAAGTGCGGTGTGTCGATTGCATGCCATTCTCCAGATATGGGAGGTTGAAAATGGTCAAACTTTCTCAATTTGTCCATTTCTAAGCACACTCTTTGGTGTAAATAAGAAGCCACTTTTTCTCCCTTTTCCTGGCACCTGGGTTTTACGCTTCTGACTTAGTCGTGTTGTCCGTTTTCTTAGCTTTCCAACGACACCAAACTCGTCTTGATCCGACGATAAATAAGAAAGTTATGAGCTTCGGAAAATTCCACTATTTCCTTTACTATTATACTTCTATCCATGACTTTCACTTTCACTTTCATTTGACCTAGATAGTTCATGACCTAGATAGTTCATCTTCGTTTTGTACCTATACCCTACTCCAAACCCTAACCCTAACCCCCATTAACCCTAACCCTAACCCTAACCCTGCTAACCCTAACCCCACTAACCCTAACCCTAACCCCACTAACCCTAACCCCAATTAACCCTAACACTAACCCCCACTAACCCTAACCCCACTAACCCCGCTAACCCCACTAACCCCGCTAACCCCACTAACCCCACTAACCCTAACCCTAACCCCACTAACCCCGCTAACCCCACTAACCCCGCTAACCCCACTAACCCTAACCCCCACTAACCCTAACCCCACTAACCCCAACCCCCACTAACCCTAACCCCCATTAACCCTAACCCCCATTAACCCTAACCCTAACCCCCACTAATCCTGACTTTAACCCCTGCAAACACTTACTTTTTGCTTTTTGCTCCTATCTTTTGAACAGACTGCTCCGATGTCAACGATCTTGGTGTCGTTGGAAAGGTCTTGAAGAGCTCTTTACGCTGATGTCATGAACTTGTCGTTCCAGAGAGCAAAAAGTAGAATAACGAGCGATTTTCTTCATATGCTTGCAAACGGCAGAAGATCTTTATTTCCTTATGCATTTTCAAGTTCTTGGGCTTGTCAGAAAGCTCTTGACAACGTCTATCCATAGCCATAACGGTCAGAAGGATTTACGACTTTTCGCGAGGCTTTCCAGAGCAAATATTGCCAAGGTGTACCCACGCTGCTGAGACATACATCTTTCAACCCTCGCAACTTTTTCCGTCTTTAACCTTTAATAACCATCTTCGCGTTGTTGACAGAACTTGCCAAGACCTTTTCAATGACACCAAGAGTTTGAAAATCGCATGAAAACGAAGAGAGATACGGACCTTTCAATTTGGCGTCAATTTGCCACCCCTTCTGAACAGTTTTTGGTCATCTCAGAAAGAAGGATTGAGGTAAGGATTTCTAGACCTACTTGACCTTTCATGGGAAGAGGAGTTCCCTTTCGTCCCAAATTTTCGACTTCCGCCGACGTCGCCTTCCGGTCCAACTGGAATTATAGCACGTTTTCTTCAAATGCCCATAGGTTGCACGTCCTTGGAGCACTGAGGCTGAGCTTTGGTATGTGGATTCCTTGAAGTCTTCTTAATCTTTCATGTACTGACTTTAGGGCCTCTATCTCTCACCCTTTTCCAGATATAAGCCCAAAGAGAACTTAGCGCGGAACGCAAGTTTACCTCGTCTCCGAGCATAACCAGTTTCCTGGGCACTTGAAAAGTACTCACCGAGACCTCCTCAGCAACGTTCAGGTTGTCTGGAGCTGACCACAAAGAACCGTCCAACCCCTGTCTCACATTTTCGAAGACTTTTGTACATTTTCCGCATGTTCAGTCTATAATATCTTTTGAGGGAGAAAGTATTTCTACTAACTCTTTGCAGCTTCTAGGAGTCCCTATCGGGGTGTATCACTGACATAAGTGCGGTGTGTCGATTGCATGCCATTCTCCAGATATGGGAGGTTGAAAATGGTCAAACTTTCTCAATTTGTCCATTTCTAAGCACACTCTTTGGTGTAAATAAGAAGCCACTTTTTCTCCCTTTTCCTGGCACCTGGGTTTTACGCTTCTGACTTAGTCGTGTTGTCCGTTTTCTTAGCTTTCCAACGACACCAAACTCGTCTTGATCCGACGATAAATAAGAAAGTTATGAGCTTCGGAAAATTCCACTATTTCCTTTACTATTATACTTCTATCCATGACTTTCACTTTCACTTTCATTTGACCTAGATAGTTCATGACCTAGATAGTTCATCTTCGTTTTGTACCTATACCCTACTCCAAACCCTAACCCTAACCCCCATTAACCCTAACCCTAACCCTAACCCTGCTAACCCTAACCCCACTAACCCTAACCCTAACCCCACTAACCCTAACCCCAATTAACCCTAACACTAACCCCCACTAACCCTAACCCCACTAACCCCGCTAACCCCACTAACCCCGCTAACCCCACTAACCCCACTAACCCTAACCCTAACCCCACTAACCCCGCTAACCCCACTAACCCCGCTAACCCCACTAACCCTAACCCCCACTAACCCTAACCCCACTAACCCCAACCCCCACTAACCCTAACCCCCATTAACCCTAACCCCCATTAACCCTAACCCTAACCCCCACTAATCCTGACTTTAACCCCTGCAAACACTTACTTTTTGCTTTTTGCTCCTATCTTTTGAACAGACTGCTCCGATGTCAACGATCTTGGTGTCGTTGGAAAGGTCTTGAAGAGCTCTTTACGCTGATGTCATGAACTTGTCGTTCCAGAGAGCAAAAAGTAGAATAACGAGCGATTTTCTTCATATGCTTGCAAACGGCAGAAGATCTTTATTTCCTTATGCATTTTCAAGTTCTTGGGCTTGTCAGAAAGCTCTTGACAACGTCTATCCATAGCCATAACGGTCAGAAGGATTTACGACTTTTCGCGAGGCTTTCCAGAGCAAATATTGCCAAGGTGTACCCACGCTGCTGAGACATACATCTTTCAACCCTCGCAACTTTTTCCGTCTTTAACCTTTAATAACCATCTTCGCGTTGTTGACAGAACTTGCCAAGACCTTTTCAATGACACCAAGAGTTTGAAAATCG